TGCTGCGAGGGGGTCAGAAACTGCCTTGAGCTCAGCCCAACGCGAGTTTTCTGTCGTCTGAGGGGCGGCCTGCGGGTGGGCCTTTCCGCTGCTCCCACGGAGGCTCCGGCCGCTTCCAGGCCGTGAAGGTTTGGCTGGATTTGCTTCACTGCGGTGCTCAGGGAAGGGTTGCTACAGCAGGCCGAAGAGGCAGGCATACAGAAGAGCCTCAGTGCTAGAGGACAGTGGTTCGCGAGACTGGAGAGATCCACAGACACAGGCTCGGAGTTGTGCGTTGCGTCCTGACCCTCCCAGTGCAGAAGTGACCAAGGGTTGGTCACCAAACTTGGGCGTGGTAGCTCTGCTGCTCGGCACTGCGTTATGGTTGTGCGCAAAACTATGGAGTCCAAGGTGAATCTGAATCGCGTTTTTGGTTTCTGTGGCCAAACCTTGTGATGGACTTTAGGGGAGAGGGGAGGTCGGTTCGTATTCAGGGTCTGCTTCTTCAGGACGGTGCGTTGGCTGCACTCAGGGGAAGCATTGAGACAGTACTCTGTGAAGGGAGGGGTGACAATTGCCTGATCAGTCTCGTACGTGGGGTATGTTAACTGTGATAGAATCACGTTTTTAAGTTACGTATCACATTCTTACAGTTCCTTCATAAAATAATCGATGGCATATGTGGCCGTTCGTATCCTCGGTACCAGGATTATGGGAGTATTTGGAGCTTGTCGGAGTGGATGGAGGTTTTAGAAGAGACAACGATGTATTTCAAAACTGCGGTTGGCCAAAACATATCTGATGAAGAGGTAAGGGCTCATCCCTGATTGGGCTTGACTTTCAGGGATTGTACTGGAGTGATTAGTCTTGTAGTTTATTTAGTACTAAAGTGTTTTCACAGTGTAGCATTTGAATTGTACCAGATTAAGCCTACATAGGTAGAAGGTTAGCAGCATTTAGGGGTACACTGCGAAGACTTCTAAAAGAAAAAGTGAAATTGGACAATTTTTTTTTTTAAATAGAACTATGTAATGCTTGTTAAAGTACTGTTTTAGTCACTTAAATTGATATCTTAAGTATCACTAAATTTTTCTGTTTTCCTTAAGATACCTGTCATTACTGTTCGTTAGGAACAAAGCCAATTTGCACTGTTTGTCTGTCTTTATTCTTTGCTTCTGCATTGTAGTGTTTTAAAATATTGGCTGTTATTTAAATAAAAAAACAAAATCTAGGCTGTGTGTGGACTATGTGGGACAGGGACTGTAGTTTAGGGCATTCTAATGTGTATAATCTTTGCAAAAACATGGTCTATTACCAGAAATCTTAATTCTTGTCTCTTACCTATTGTTTGTATTTTTACTACCTGCTAGTAACTAAATTAAAGAAAGATACTTGCATAGCCATAAGGAAGTCTGTATATCAGTATGTTGCAGCTAAGCTAATGTATTTTGTCTCCACTCTGATGTTTAGAAACTGAGCTAAACCTGTGTTGTTTCTGTGTGATATTTTTGTTTGTTTGTTTCCAGGTGTCTAAGAAGGCAAATACAGCCTCCATTCTCTGGTGTCTTTTTAATTTAAATACAAGGAAGTTGAATATTGTTTTTAATATGTTACTGTGGTAAATTGTGATTTTTAACTGTCAAACACAGAGCAGCCTCTGAGGGCAGTATAAGGATGAGAATATGTAGTCTAGTAGAACAGCTATGTGGGTAGAAGCTTGAATATCTACAGAGCTCAGTTACTGCAGGTGGTACATGTTATTTCTGTGGTTCATAGTTTAAGCAATCACAACTTTTATTTTTGTAGGCTGCTCAGCAGATAAATGAGTTGAATTCAAACTATCAAGAAGCAATCATGAAATGTCTAAAAGGCAGAAAGGAAGAAATCAGGAATGCGCTAGTGGAAAGAGTAAATGCAATCTCTTCTGCCCAGCTGCAAGATTTTGACTGGCAGTTAAAGGTGAGAGCGTTGCCTTGATACCATTTGATAGAAGTGTTCCACAGCGCAGAAGTAACTGCTGATATAAGCCCCTTAGCCCCACTCATTTTGGACCATAGTTCAATTTCTATAGGTGTCAGAAAAGCACATTCCTGATAACACATCAAAGAGTTGCCAGACATTTGTATAAACTAATTATTTTTTTTACCACCTCCTTTATTTTAAAGCTGCAATACTTTTCTCTTTTCTAAAAGGAGATTGAGCATTATTCAGGAATACCTCATATGCTGTTGTAATTTTGAGGCCTGAATAGATGGTATTTTTACTCAAAGGAGGAAGAAATATTTACTTATAGGAGTAGTACACTGATTTTAGGATGTGTTTCTCTGATTCCTTCAAATTTTTAGATTCCTGCAATAAACAATTATTTAATGAATGATTTCCAACGAATTATCTTTAGACTTATTTTGACAATAAGCCAATGATAACTGTGTTGCCTCAAGTTGGATGGTGCTTTGGGGTTGTGAAGGCACAGTTGCTTTAAATTAAACTCTTATCAGTGTCTTAAAATTCAAACAATGTAAGTAATGTTGTTTAGTTAGTCCATGGGAGCTGTTAAACAGATTTGTAGAGCTGTTAAATAGTTTTCCATTTTAACAAGTGTTAAATAATTTGTGCAGCCAACAGCTGTGGAAATCAAAGAGCAGTGCCCACAATAGCCAAGATGTTGCAAGAGCAAATATGGCATCGTAATGTGCTTCAGATGACCTGTTACTGGAGATTGAGCTCTCGCTAACTGCATTGCTGCTGACAGAGACACAAACTAGACTTAGGTGGACTCTCGTTTTTAGCTTGTGGTTTCTTTTAACTTTCCTCTGGAGGATTTTAGTTCCTTTTGTGATGCAGATTTCTGGTACATATCTGAACTATGTATTTGTTTTGCTTTAAACCACCTTTTTTCTTCCCTTGACCTGGTTGTGATTTTTTTTTTTGCTTACCATAGTTGAATCCTACCAAGGACATTCTTCTCTGCTCTACCACATTCTGCTCTCTAAATAAATAAGATAGGTGTGTACAATACTGACCTACAGTATTATCAGCTAATCTTTGGTCTTAATATATTTTCAAAGCCTTATTTATGCTAGAGTGAGTATAATAGTAAATTAAAAGCACAATTGTAAGTAATCCTCTTTTATCAGTGACTGTCAAATAGGATATCTGACAAATGGTGTTTGATCAGCTGTAGAGAGGGTTGAGAAATGCCCAAAGGTGGCACGCTTTCTCCCAGCTGCCCCCTTCTAACAAGACGCTTCTTACTTGTTGCTTACCAGAACTATTTGAACAGGGTGACTTCAGAATTCATATACCTCACTTTTAAAGAGCCATGGTCAAATGTATCCTTTCTTTTCACCTAGAATACAAAAATATAGCAGCCCAATGATGTTAGCAAATTGTTTTGAGAAATGTCTTGCTATCAACAGGTGTTTTGGAGTTTCAGTATATTGTTGGTACCAACAAACAAAAATCCCAGTGGGGGGGTGGAAGCAAAACCAAAAACTGCAGAGATGACTTGTGAGAAGTTAGTTTTGTCACGCTGTTGTTTGCTTTGGTAGGACATACTGAATATAAAGTACAGTTGTGATGCTGTGCAGAGACTAAAAACTTACTGACTCCGCCTTACGCGTTGTTGTTTTATCAATCTGCATAGCTTGCTCTCTCCAGTGATAAAATCTCCATGCTGCAAATGCCACTTGTCAATCTTGATTTGGATGTGAGAGAAAATGGTGAGATCAAGCCAATTTCTATTGAGATGAATAAGGAAGAGTTGCAGAACCTAATAAATGCACTGGAAGCCGCTAACAAGGTAGCTTTTTTTCATATCATCCTTTGTTCCTGTTCCTGACTTCTCATGCACTGAGTTTATTGTAACTGAAATTGTTTGTTCTGGGTATCTTGCTGAAAACCCAAAGTAAATCATTCATTGGCAAAATGACTATAGACTTACAGAAAGCCTTACATAAGGCTGACTATCTTGGATAGACTTCAGAGTTATTTTCAGCACAGCTTAGGTTTTTTTTAATGTAATTAAAATGCTGATGAGCATAATAGTCTCTTCAGACCACCGTTGAAAAGTCTTGTGAGAATAAGAGGAGCAGCGAATGAAGTGACGAAGTGTCAGATGAGAGCTGTTTTTGAAAGATTAGAGAGAAGTCCAGTGTTCCCCACAGCTTCACAAAATGTCAGTGGCTGGGAATGCATATAGGAGAGTTGTTTGGTTCAAATTGAGTGCTGTGATTTCTGTGGCATAGTAAATCAGGAGGAAAGTTACAAAGATTCCAGTATGGTAACCCAGGAAGAAAATTTCAAGCAAAGCTTTATTTGGAGTGTCTTAGATTTCTTAATAGAAAATATGAAGGGAAGTGGGGGTTTCCCTAAAAATTACTAGGGGAAGAAGCATCATCTGATTTGCACCCTGGTGATAACTGCAAACCTTAGAGTCCCTTCCTTGTTCAGTTACCTTTCAGGATTAATTCTGGCTCTGTTATAAAGGAGAGTGGGTGTGGTGTGTTAGTTTTCTTTTTTAAAATCTGAAAAAGTCTTCAAATATTTATTAACTCTGTTATCTGGGAGGTGAAATTCTCTGACATCTTGTCAGATGGATGTGAAAGTATCAACGTGTTTTAGAAGTTAGTAGCTTCTTGTTGCTTCATGGCATCTAGCAAGTGAGGGGTTTCTTTAGATGTTTTGTGTTATGATGCTGTAGCTGAAGTCTGTAGACCAAAGAATACATTTCTAGCTCAGAGCTGAATACTAAGTTCTAGTAGTGCTCTTAATATTTTGAATGACACAGGACACTAAGATTATGTCTACCACTTGCTTTAATGAGGCTGATGTGAGACCTCTGAGTAACTTGGTAGTTCCCAGTGAGATGAATGTGTTCGTCTAGATACTGGTGGCGGTCTTGAGAGATGCGAGCCCTTAACAGCTTGCTTTCCTCTGGATCTTTTTCCTCCAAAACTAAGTAAGTATTTCTCTGTGACAGACTTTTGTCTCCACAAGCCTTTTGTTCTGCTTGAAGGTCTGTATGGAAGCTGTGGGATGCTGTTATCTCCTTAGTTTTATGTGCACACAAGGAGGAACTCACTCTAGGAGTGGTCCCTTCGTTCTGCTTTGTGGGGAAGGAATCTCACTGGACCTGGAAATTACCATTCTACTTTTTGATTACAGGGAGGTGAGGAATAGTTTGCAGTAGGTGCCGAAGAAAGTTATTGGGAGTGACAGTTGTGGGAGGTTGTAGAAGAGAGGTGACAGAGGGGTGTGGTGTATTGTCCATAGGAAAGAGATGTTTATACAGTTGCATATTAAACTGTAACAGGAAACAAAAAGCTGTTGTGTCCTAGACTGCTTAAGTTTTGGTCTCATTCAATTTTAATCTCTTGCCTTTTCTACTTTTTGAAGGTTGTCTTGCAACTGAAATGATGGAATTCAGATCATCGGCAGTACCTGCTGGCAATGGCTGCCCAGCTGACTGAGGGAGGAATGTTACCTGCAAAGCCAAAAGTTGTTGATGCTATAAAATACTGAAGTGAGAAGGCCATTATGACTTGTGACCAAAAAAACCTATTAATCCTTTGATGAAAATAATAGAATCTTGTATCTCTGACAAAAAGTGTAAAAATCCAATGTACAGTAGTTTTTAGTACTGAAGATTTATAGAACTGTGTAAAAAATACCGCTCGTGATGTGTGCCGTATTTGTTTTGGTTAACCTTTAGCACTGACTGCACAGGTGTCTGGTGAAACTGAGGCATCTTCCTTGCATAATACGTTTTCCTTAGCTCAGGTGCCATGATAATGAAGAACATCATGGAGTACTTGTAGCGTTAATGTATTTATACTTGTACAGTAGTTTCTAGTACTGAAGACTTATAGAACTGTGTAAATACTGCTCGTGACGTGTGCCATATTTGTTTTGGTTAACCTTTAGCACTGACTGCACAGGTGTCTGGTGAAACTGAGGCATCTTCCTTGCATAATACGTTTTCCTTAGCTCAGGTGCCATGATAATGAAGAACATCATGGAGTACTTGTAGCGTTAATGTATTTATACTTGTAAATAGTAAATAAACCCTTGATTTTGTGTGTGAATAATTGCAGTAAGTTGTTTCTTGATTTATTAAACGCTAAACTCGGAATCTTTTTAGATGCTGGGAAAAAACTGTTTTACAAACAAAAGCGGTGTAGAATCCCAGCATGTTGGAGGTTGGACCTCCACCTCTGGAGGTCATATCTAACCCCCCTTATCCAGGCAGGACCACCTGAGCAGGCTGCACAGGACCATGTCCAGATGGTTTTCGAATGTCTCCCAATGATGTTGGCAACCTCTTCCAGTGCTCAGAATTTGAGGAAGAAGTACTGAGGCTTTACTCAGAGCAAAGTTTGGGGTTTTTGTCTTGGGTTTTGTCTCTTAATTGATAGCTTTTCACTTAAAAATATCAATGTTTTCAGAAGAAGGTGCAGTGCTGGAGAGGAGTTGACCTGCGTAGGCTGAAAAGGCTATTTCCAGCCCATGTAACAGAGCAGAGAACTGGTAAATTGTAGTCTAAATCTTTCTGAAAACAGATTGAGCTTTGATTGTAGTATGTAACAAAAGTTAGAGGCTGTAACACTGGACAAGTATACACCAGGAATCTTTATAGGTTTTACTATTTGCTAAACTATTTTCCTTATATAAAGAGGAAATTATAATACTTGCATAAATACTAACGGTTACTCCTCTGTTTGTGTATATATGCATGTTTTATTTATATGAAAGCATAAAAGGGCGAAGTGGTGATGACTTCCATCTTCATACTTTCGAAGTTGTGAGTCTTAGGTTTCTTCTACTATATTTTGTTGTGCCGTAGGATGTCATGTAAGCAAAGTAAAATAAACATCCGTACAAAAAACCTGGACTTTAGAGGAAAGTCAGAGAAGAGGAGGACAAACAGCTCTCTTGTAGAAAGGCCTCTCTGAAAAGGATTTTAGTAGGCTTTGTGCTTAGTAACCTAAATATTAAATATAAGTTTTTAACACTAAAACTAGCATGGAAGTTTTGAGGGTCAGAGAATGTTTTAAAAGTGTATGTGTGTCTATAAAATGCACTCTGTTCCCTTTTTATTTGGTGGTGGTACATTTAGTCAGATGTACATGTAGTTCAGCATCAGCAATTCAAGAAGATCAGAAGAAGTGGAGAAGAGGATTGAGCTGTAAGAACAGACAACTGGAAAGCATAGCTTACAGTAGAAGGACTGCAATCTTTAACAGGTATGGCTTGATTGCAGTCGTGAATATTTATAAGCAACAGGAATTGGATGATGGCTCAGATGACAGAGAAAGACCTTGCATCAGTAGTACCAATTCATACTAGGAAACACAGGTTGGAGTTGATGTTTGTTTAGACTTATAAAAATCGTGGGAAGAGTTACTGCAGTTTGTCCAGTAGCCTGTTCAGGAGCAGGCTATTTTTTTAATTGTTGAGTTTAATGAATGGATTGGTTAGGTCAGTTCATAGTTTTATATGTCTTGACTCCACTTTTCCCTTTTCCTCTAGATCTAGTTGCTTTATAGAAGAGTGAATACACTGTTTTGATAGGGCTCTGTGTGCCTAAATGCTTTATGGGTTCTATGGTGCGCACTGAAGGTGTAACTGTAATAAGCTTTCATTATGCTGTGGTAGCATATGTTGGTAAAAGGCTTTTGTAGAGAAAAGAGGCTTAATTTTTGGTAACTGATCTTTATTGTTGACATGCTGTTTTTATCCTTCAGGACAAAAGGACTGAAAACTATTCCTTCTAGTTACAGTAGCAGAAATAATAAACAGCAGTTTATTTCATACGAGCGTACATCAAGTTTGGGGTGTCATTTGGTGAGAAGATACTCGTGTGCTGAGCCATTTTTACAGTTTATAGATGTACTGTGAACGCATTTAAGAAAGCAGACACCTAGAAGGTCTGCACTTCAAAGAACACGCAGTTGGATGTTTAAAACTTATTTAGCAGTATGTTGCTGAAGACTTTTATGTTGCTATCTCTTAGTTTTCAAAGGTTGGGTTCAAAAATACAGTACATTCTTCAAAATAAAGTTACATATTTTCTCAACAGTAAAAGGCCACAAATGATAACTTCAATCTTTATAGTCAGCCTGTGAAACATCTGTTGGAAAATCTGGTGCGTATCTAGCTGATAGAAAGCAATTTTTAAAAATGCTGATGCTGTTGTAAAATATTTCTCTTTTTCTTAGTAGAAGAGACTTGAAGTTTATAATTTCATCTTAAATTTTATAGTAAGTTTCATAAAAATGGATTTATAATTACTCCAAGGGTATGTGGTAGTGTTTCACCTTTTGTATCATCCTATACTTGTCCTGTCTTTTACTTCAGCACTGCACAGGAAAAGCTGAAGAATCATTTTTCAATAATTTTTGACTTGGGAAAAAAGACATGTGTCTGTTATGTGACAGTAATAAATGCAAAGAGCTGCTTTTTCATGGGTGTTAGACTTTACTGAAAGTCTGAATATTGTTTACATAACCATCCAAAGGTTGTTTTTGTCAGGGAGCCATGTGAAGGGCTAGAGAGGGGGAGGAGCAGCAGTTGACAAGCAGGTGAGAACTAGCAGCTTGTGGTACTGCACCTGAAATGTGCATCCTGACCTTACCTCTCCACAGAGGAACCAACTGCCCTCGCCAGCCACGGAACGGCCTCCCGTAGATGGAAAGGGAGAGGACCAAGCAGAATGGAGAGGAGAGCTTGCTGCCCTGTTCTTTGTACCATCGATCAGAACAAGTTTCATTCTGTTTCTTTTCTGAGAGGCAGGTGCTTTTGGAGCAAGCAAGGTCTCCAGTTGTGACAGATAAGGCATTTGTGGCTACTGTACCATGCCAAATTGATGCAAAAAGCTAGAGATTTCACAAAACCCAGTATACTGGTGTCAGCTTTGTTGTACACTTGGATGAATTGCAGGTGAACATGGATATTTAGCAAATAGGAAAAATGTACATGTAATGGAAACACCTTAAAGAAGCTTGTGGCCAGGAGCAGGTCTGTCAAGTATGCCCGGCTATGCTCCCTTCCAGGCTGAAAAAACGGGGATTAGGTAAGGACGTTGGCATTATGTTTCCACAGAGAGATTTCCATACAGCACAGAGCCCTGTGCAGGTCACAGCCCATAGAGGAACTGTGTGCTGGGCCCAGAGTAAAATACAGGAACTGCACCAGTAACAAAAGCTGAGGAGGGGCCGTGATGTGAGGACCGTTGCCCACAGGGCCACTGGAGTCTGTGAGTAAGGGGGAATCAGGGAAATCTGAAGGCACAGGGTAATTAGACCAAAGGTGCAAGAGTTTAGAGACTCCATTATCACTAAACTTCTAATTTTGTCCCTGCCTATCTGCTCACTTTGCTCATATCTGCATTTTTTTGTTCTTTCAGACCTGGGCTCTTTCTGATTAGCTGGTTATGAGAAGTTGATTGGCTTTGGTGTTTGCTCATCCCACCACACTAACTTGTAACGGGTTTTGTCCTGTTTCAGGGACACGGGTTTGTATTTTCCCAGTGTTTGCCCCTGCATACCAGTTCGCTTCTGGATCCCGCAGTCGTGTGGACCAAGAAAAGGAAAACCACCATAAATATGTTGATGAAACCTCTGTGGTTTTGCAGGTTCTATGTACAATCCTCTAAAGCACATAATTAAGACCAGAAACAAAATTCTGTACAGTAGGCTCTTTGAACCAGAAGTCCCAACAAAAATAGTGTATATAATGGACACACTGTGTGAAGTTTTAATTTCAGCATGTAAAAAGCATCTACAGAAATTCACATTGCATAAACAGACCTGCAGGTTGAATCAAAAAATGCAGCATATCTTGATACAAAATATAGAAGTGAATTATAAAAATAATGTTACTTGCCCTCTGACATTCATTGCACTTCTCTATTTCATAGAAATCTTCCCTTGATTTCAGAAATAAACATGGTTTTCTCGGTCAGCTTTGATCTTGGCTTGCTAAACTGAATCAGAATTGGATCTGACCAGCAAACTGTTGGTATGGAAGTGATTATTGTAAAAAAACTGCTTTTGTAACAAAGCAATTGTGTGTGGCAAGAAGCTGTATTTTTGAAAGATCTAGATAAGCCTGTAGAACATTTTGAGTTCAGGAGCAAGCTGATAAGAAATAAGCTGAAACATCATTATGCTTTTTTCTGAAAGGTGGTTTTAAGAACTAAGCACACCTTGACCTGAAGTATGCACGCTTTGCTATCACTTTGACTTGTGAATTAATATTTATAGTGAAGTATTGGAAATAAGGGATGTTGACTCTTCTGAGAATGCTTTCATAAGTGCATCAAGATAGTCTATAAAGTGTTTTACTTCTTTAAATCCACCTTAATTACATTTGGCAGTATACTGTGCTTTCCTCCGTAAATGTATAGTTTGTACTTA